CAAGAGGTGTGACCGCCTCCTTCAATCCCAGCTCGGAAACCGGCTCCGGGGAGGGGCGGGGCCACTTGAGTGGTGCCTCGGGCTCTGACTGCCGTAGTTGGGGCCCTGTCCTAGCCGCCTCCTGTGGGGACGGCTCATGCCTGATTGCCCGTTTGTTCCTGCAGGTGAGAGGCTGGCGAGCGTGGCTGGGGCAGAGGATGCTGCACCGGGAAGAGGCGGCACCAGCACTGATGTGGAGCTGGTGGGAGCGTGGCACAAAGACCCTGCTGCGGGGGCAGAGGAAGCTGTGCTAGGAGACAGTGCCAGGGTGGAGGAGGCTGTACCAGGAGGTAGCGCTGATGCGGAGCCGGCGCGGCACAGAGGCCCCACTGTCAGGTGGCCCTTTAAATGCAGTGAGTGTGGGAAGAGCTTCCGGCAGAGTGCCACGCTGACAAAGCACCAGCTCCTCCATGCGAGCGAGAGGCCTTACATCTGAACCACCTGCAGCAAAGGCTTTTGCGACCACGCGGCGCTGGCCACGCACCAGCGGGCGCACACAGGTGAGCGCCCCTTCCCCTGCCTGGCGTGCGGCAAGGCCTTTGCTGGCAGCTCGGCGCTGCTGGTGCATCAGCGAGTGCACACCGGTGAGCTTCCCTACCGCTGTGGGGAGTGCGGGCAGAGCTTCCGGCAGAGTGCCCACCTGGCACAGCACCAGCAGGGCGCCCACGCCAGCCAGCGCCCCCACGCCTGCTCTCACTGTGGCAAGAGCTTTGGGCTGCGCTCCACGCTGGCACGGCACTTGCAGACACACAGTGTCGAACGCCCCCACGCCTGCCCTGACTGCCCCCGCCGCTTCCGCCAGCGAGCCCACCTGCTCCGGCACCGGCTAGCGCACACAGGTGAACGTCCCTTCCCCTGCCCGGTCTGCGGCAAAGCCTTTGCCCTGAGTGCCACGTTGCTGCGGCACCAGCTGGTGCACACGGGTGAGCGCCCCTACCGCTGTGGGGAGTGCGGGCGCAGCTATACACAGAGCTCCTACCTGCGCCAGCACCAGCGCAGTGCCCACGCTGGCCAGCGCCCCCACACCTGCCCTGACTGCGGCCGTGCCTTTGCTGACCGTGCCAACCTCCTGCGGCACCAGCGGGGCCACACAAGCGCCCAACCCCATACCTGTGCTGAGTGTGGGCGGTGCTTTGCCCAGCTGGCACACCTACGGGAGCACGGGCGCACACACAGCAGGGAGCAGCCATTCCACTGCAGCCAGTGTGGCCAAGCCTTTGGGCACCGCTCAGCCCTGGCTGCGCACCAGCGCGCACACAGTGGGGAGCGCCCCTACCCCTGTACCCAGTGTGGGTGCCACTTTGCCCAGCTTGCCAGCCTGGTGGAGCACCACCAGCGGCACACGGGTGAGAAGCCTCATGATTGCTCCCACTGTGGGCGCCGCTTCCGCCACCGCTCAGCCCTGCTTCGCCACCAGCGCTCCCATGCTGGGGAGCTCCCCTTCCGCTGCGGGCAGTGCGGTCGTGGCTACACCCGCAGCTCCA